GATCAATCATATATGTTTTGTTGCCCTCTTGAATTCATTTGTAAAGCGTTTCTTTCTTCGGTACAGACGAAATTCTTCTGATATGGAATTATTATTTCCAGCCATTGACATACAACTAATGAAATGATACAATATATTAAATTGTAGGTACATAACATAGCTCCCCGTGGTTCTACTGATAACTTGGATCTTTAATAAGATAAGCCCCTTCTCACATATCATTTTCTTCGGTATAAAATGACATTCAATAAGAAAGCTAAACACACCCCATATGGTCTCGAAGTATTAAACCTGTCAGCTGTATTGGAGACATTATCCATAATACATTAGTTTTGTGATTAGATGAAAACCTACATTTCGCAACTTACTGAGACTAGATTGTATTGGAAATAACGATAGCTATCTTCAAGAAGAAAGATATTATTCATGTAAGCAGCTCGAGTCTGGAAAGATGTGACAAATGTTCTACGCCACCATAAAAGGTTAAATCTCAGGCTTATCTGCTCATATATATATTAACGTGTATGCAGCGTAGGATAAGAAATAAGTTATTTTTTGTCATTTGTAATAAAATAAAGATTGGCTTTCTCTCGCTAGCTTTTTCAGTCGAACATGCCTCTCTACGAGGATGATTCAGTTAAGGTACGAGCAATTTCTTAAAACTATAGCTGTTTCGTATTAGTGAATTCAAACACACACATACATTTTTCAACACCTATACTAAAAATGCCTCATTAAGTAAATTAACACAATATTTCAAGTAATGCCTTACTTAAAATGTTATCGTCAAATTCAATTATTGCATAGGCAAACATCAAAATTCCCATGTAAGTGAATTTTGAATTACATGAAAATCTATGCTTATAATAAAGTGTTATTTTTCACACAATACCAGAAGAAAAAAAAGGATAGCAATAGAAATAATGATTCCTGCAGTCGGCTATTATATGACAATAATGAAAGTGTATGGAGGACAAGAGTGGACGGTTTAAGTATCTGGAACAGTAGAGTGGACTGTTTAAGTGTCTAGAGTAGTAGAGTGGAAGGTTTAAGAGTCTACGACAGTAGAGTGGACGGTTTAAGTGTCTAGAGTACTTGAGTGGACGGTTTAAGTGTCTAGAGTACTTGGGTGGACTGTTTAAGTGTCTAAAACAGTAGAGTGGATTGTTTAAGCTTCTAGAAAAGTAAAGTGGACGGTTTAAGCGTCTAGAACAGTATAGTGGACAGTTTAAGTGTCTAGAGCAGTAGGGTGGACGGTTTAAGTGTCTAGAGTAGTATAATGGACGGTTTAAGTGTCTAGAACAGTAGAGTGGACTGTTTATGTGTCTAAAACAGTAGAGTGGACAGTTTAAGTGTCTAGAGTACTTGAGTGGACGGTTTAAGTGTCTAGAGTACTTGGGTGGACTGTTTAAGTGTCTAGAACAGTAGAGTGGATTGTTTAAGCTTCTAGAAAAGTAAAGTGGACGGTTTAAGCGTCTAGAACAATAGAATGGACAGTTTAAGTGTCTAGAGCAGTAAGGTGGGCGGTTTAAGTGTCTAGAGCAGTAAGGTGGGCGGTTTAAGTGTCTAGAACAGTAGAGTGGACTGTTTAAGCTTCTAGAACAGTATAGTGGACAGTTTAAGTGTCTAGAGCAGTAGGGTGGACGGTTTAAGTGTCTAGAGTAGTATAATGGACGGTTTAAGTGTCTAGAACAGTATAGTGGACTGTTTATGTGTCTAGAACAGTAGAGTGGGCAGTTTAAGTGTCTATAGCTGTAGGGTGGACGGTTTAAGTGTCTAGAACAGTAAAGTGGACTGTTTAAGTGTCTAGAACAGTATAGTGGACTGTTTATGTGTCTAGAACCGTAGAGTGGAGAGTTTAAGTTTCTATAGCAGTAGAGTGGACGATTTAAGTGCCTAAAGTTGTAGAGTAGATTCTTTAATGGTCTAGAACAGTAGAGTGGATTGTTTTTAATATTTTTAGTATGACGTTTATGCTAGTTCATCCTAGAACAATCATTTTCTGTTTTATTAAATCACAACAAGAACATTTCGATAAGCCGTTTAATTATAATCACTGTATTTCTTAATTTTCTGATCCATTACCAGCTACAACAGTATTACAAGCTTCAGAAAAACCCAAGTAACATCTCTTGTTAACTCTGTCAAGTAAAATGGGGCGTTTTTATTTTCTTTCCTATGCACCTGAGTTACGTAAATCTCTAGGCTTACAACAACCAAATTCTGATTTCGATATTCATGGTGGGCAGAGCATAAATAACCTGTATGCTTACAACAACCAAAATCTGATTTGCATCACGGATCTTTCTGTCCTGATTTCTTGTTGTTATTATTTTGCAATTTTAAGGGCGAAGTACGTTGGGGTTAACCTTACCTTCCATACTGAAATTTATGTAAGATATATTTTTTACTTTTTTTTCTTATTTTCTGTCGTTTTCTGCCCAAGTTCCCGATTTTTTACTCTTTATGTTTCGGAATTATTAAGATATATTTGACTGCTGAGCTCACAATCTGAGCCTTCTGTTTATGGTACTAAATGTTTTTAATTTCTTCCTGATTTCGTGCTATTTACAACCAAAAGTTACAAGTTCTTAGCACTGCCATTTCAGGTATAAAGAAGAGTAGATAAAAAAGACCAGTGCGACAACAACCCCTACATCCGATATTTCTTCGCGAAACATTGTTAATATTTTATTTCCACCATTCATATTTCCTTTGCTGTTATTTTGGAATTATAAAACATGGAATTTAGAAGCTAATTTCCAACATAGTTTTGTGAATGTTTACTGCCTCATACCTATAATTCTACTCACAATTTTGTGTGTGTTGTCTACAATTTTGTGTTTGGATTTCGGATTTATAAACATATTTCTTTATTTTGAAATATCTACATCACATTGTTTTACTTTACTTTTGCAGCATTAGATTTCATGCTTCAGTTGTATTGTATGAATATGATGACACTGGAACAAGAGAAACGTGACATTCTTCTAATAAAGGATTTAAAACAACGATACTCGTCTTTAAGTATCCGGTACTAAATAGTTTATACAAATTAGTCCATACACTTGTAATATTCGGTATAGAGCTAGTTTATACAAAGTAGTCCATATAATTGTAATATCCGGTATAGGGCTAGTTTATACACATTTAGTCCATATACTTGTAATATCCGGTATAGAGCTAGTTTATACAAAGTAGTCCATATAATTGTAATATCCGGTATAGAGCAAGTTTATACACATTTAGTCCATATACTTGTAATATCCGGTATAGGGCTAGTTTATACAAATTTAGTCCATACACTTGTAATATTCG